TACTTATGTCTAGATATGCGAGCAAAGAAATCAGTTACCTTTCCATATCCTCCAGATCCTATCTCATGAGTTTCTGAGAAATTATTGGTGCATTTCTTCAGTTCCTCAAATACAAAATATCTTGCTCCTTTCAATTGTGGTACGTCTCCGTTATCTTTACCACCTGCTCCCCATGATGCTGTGGTATCAAAATATTAACAAGATCAAATTAGCAAACATGTTATGACACTTTTAAATGCTTATGATTATCTTGCTTTTTTTTTTCTGCCATGTGTAGAGAACTAAAAATTACTAGCTTATTCAAGTTGGACATTTATTTATGGATGCGACAAAATAAATGATTACCAAATGGATTGGTAGTCCGCTCTACTGCCTCCTTGGCTATTTTCTTCTGCCGTAGAGCATATATTGCTACCAGAACAAGACCGACAATAAGGACAAAGCCAGCAATTGCTATTCCAATTATTACACCTTTGCGCATTGAGGATTTTTTACCGCTTGGGACTGAAATGGACAAGTTACGTGAGACTTGGAGACATATCAAATAAAAGAGAATATAATTCTATGCAGTATGCATACTTGCAAAGTATGGGATTGCTGTGAAGTAATATGGTCCAAATTGAGTTGGAGCTTTATAAATTTGGTTGGCCAAAGCAGAACTGATTCTTATAACTTCTGAGCGATTGAAGCCCATTTCACTGACTGGAAAAAACTTCAATCTGAATTTTAGAGGAGCTCCTGGGCTGAAGTCAACTTCGGAAAGTGCAACTGATCTTGGAGCTAGGCTAAGGTTCTGTATAAGCGTCGACTCCAATTGTTGGAATGGCTCGGGGCTTGTCATGTCAGAGAAGGCAGGTGCTTGGAAGTTCATCACACCCTCGAAGGGGGTAGTGCAAGCGCAGTTCTGTGAAGTTTCTGGATTTGGTAACTGACCAATGGGGCAGGAAATAGCACCACAGGGGCCTGGGCTAGTAGAGTATGCCACTTGCCGTTTTTCCTTGAGTGTGCAGAAATTGATATTTTCTAAGCATGCAGGATTCCCTGTTAGTCTGGATGAGAACAGAAAAGATGGGTGAGACACATGCCATGTAGTTGTACAAGTATACCATATGGTGTGATACTTACATTAGGCTACCAGTGTAGCTTGGGTCAACGTTATTAGTATCGATTATTTGATTATTTGTCAAATTAACAACCCGCAGTTTTGAGCTGATTTTACCAGTCATAGTCAGTGAGCCTCCAAGAGTATTCTTAGCTAGTGATCTGCATTAAAATACTAGTTAAAACATGAGAAGACATAAAATTGTTGGTACATTAGGGTGAAATTAGAATTCATGTATTTGCAACAAAAATAATAAAAACATAAATGTAAATAAAGGATGTGAGGTCTTGAGGGACACACAATTATTTCTCAAAATCTGCCGAAATTTACTGAAGAGAAATTTTCAGTTAGATGTGGCATTGGAGAAGTTTAGCTGGAGTATCGAGGAAATTACATTCTCTGCATCTGTGGGAGGCTGAAAAGAGCGTTGGGTATTGTCCCATTAAGGCCATTACCATCCATAAATCTGTAAATTATCCAACCAGAACAACAATGTTATTTAGAATCTAGCTTATTCACGGGTGTGGATTTTGTACACTCAAGGGTCATTGCAAACACTATATCAGTCATTGATACTACCTTGAGATCTTTTCACACATTGCAATAGATGTAGGGCAAGAGTGTGCATAGATCTGAAGGTTCTATTCATGGCTGATATGGTTTGTGCACTCACCCTTCAGTGTACCTGGGCATTTTCCCTTACTAAACCCATTTAACGTTCACTTTGCTAATCCTCATACAACTCACAAGGTGTTCAGGGCCGTCGACGTCGAAAACCATCTTGGTGCTCCTGAGCTTGCAAAAGCATTGTTGCTCATGTCCCTGTCCGGAGAGAAAATTGTGTTGAAACAACAGAAGAATCATTAAACTTAAGCATTGATCTAGTTTGTGCCTTACACATAAGTGAGATTAGTTGCATTGGTGAGGTCTGGCACTGCCCCGCTCAATTGGTTACTTGCTAAGCTCCTGTAATAACCAAAGAAGTATTGGCAACATCATTTGGAAGGAAGAGGAGACATTAGTTATTGTTCCTTGTTGATAGCTACTTACAGTTCCATCAGGCTAGTCAGGTTACCGATACTATCAGGTACCACACCTTTGAATTGGTTATGGTCTAGTCGGCTGAACAAGTACAGTCAGACAAAAAAAAGTCAATAAAACTGTGCAAAAGGGAGTGCCGGACTAATGAGAATTTATTATGAGGTACGTACATAATTTGAAGTGTTTTGACAAGCCCAAGGGATGGGGGGATTGGTCCATCAAGTTTATTGTTGTCAAATAGGCTGACAATGATTATAAAAAATTCAAAACAAGTTAGATGGCATGAAAGAACAGAGGGCATTAACAAGTGCAGATGAATACGCTGCTTACACATGTACGAGGTTCATATTGGCATTGAAAAGTTTTCTGTCCATTGGGCCTGTCAACTGGTTCTCGCTAAAATGGCTATTGAATTGGATGGATGGATGAGCCGATATGAAAAAAATAGCACATTTAAGCTATAATTATTCTTTCCATTCTAGAGCAGGTACAACATTTTAGTACTTACAAATGCTTTGTGGCGACAAGTTTATCCAACCCCGGGTCTGAACCTCTCGAAACTGGGATTTGTCCTGACAATTGATTGGCCGACAAGTCCAACCAAGAGAGATTTGTGAGAAGGCCAAGTTCTGGGGGTATTCTGCCAGTGAATTGATTCATGTTTAGGGCCCTGTATAAGAGTAACTTGTTAATTGATCTGTATCATCTCACGAATCAAATAATGTCATTAAAAAGATCTGCATTGAAATTTCAGTGAATTCTTACAGGAATGTGAGCTGTCTTAAGTTGCCTATCTCTTGTGGGATGTTACCAGTGAAGCTGCATCCAAGTAAATTCCTGAAGGAAAAACCACACAATATGTCAGCTTTTCCCGTGTCTTTTCTTTTGCTCCTCTCCACCTAACCCAAAGAAGAAGAATGTTTTGTGTATGGTCGCTGTTCTTACAGAATGATGAGCTGCTTCAGATTTCCAATATTTGGGGTAAGTGAACCTCCAAGACTTGGATTGTTAGACAGATCCCTGCATGTAGTTCATATCAGTAGTCTAAAACATATCATGGTTTATATCTGTAGATAATTTTGTAGGCTGTAGTTCCCGTTCCTGGATTCTTATCTGTTACTGCATGTTTTTGTTGAGAAAAAACTGAAGCTTTTATTACTGTATGAAGGAAGTTCTTTTGAAATTGAGGAAGCAATGACTTACAGATACGTCAAAGCGGAGAGTTGATCTATGGCATTGCTTAATGTACCTGCAACATTCATGCTCGATAATCTCCTGCAATTACCAGGTTTCAGCGGATTGTTTCTTGATAACAAAAGAAGTACAAAATGACGACTGATAAGTTGAGTTCTAACATTTCTGTCACTCTCCCGCTGGAACAGGAAATTCCATCCCAGGGTTTGCAGGGATCGGATCCTGTCCAGCTTTGCGGTTGATTCCGCCAATTCTTCATCAGTGCTTGAAGTGCGGCAACTGTAGGTTTATCAAGCGAACATTAGAGAGGCATTAAATACCAACAACTCCAATAATTCAATCTCACTCCTATCATGGATCATATTAGACACTAATCTTAATCGTATGAGAGTAGATGCAAGTATCATCATAGAGCATGCAAGATAAGTATTAATCCAAGAAAGGAGGCCTTCTTTGAATTCTCAGTTGTACTGGCGGGAATGAAACATTATTTCAGTTTAACCTTTTATCGTGGGACCTATTTCTCCATACATTAGCACGAATTCTAAATTTGTTTGATTTGACCTACTGTGTATCTGATCCATTATAGTTCTATTTGTGCTACCTAGTGCCACAAATTGGATATGATGATAAAAATGGCTTAAGAGCTAACTATTAACGCCACCGAATTGGAAAGCAGAACCATAATCTTGATGCTACATACTACCATGATGCTGATCTTTCCTGTGGGAATTCATTATAAGGAATAAAATCATGTTCGTCTTATGCTCCTGGCTGAACTAATCTGGCTCACCTTCTTCACAGGCCAATGGCTGCTCAGTGAGCAACTTGTTCTTAAAAGTAGGCAACTTTCTTCCTATTAACCGAATGAAAAAAAACGAAGGACTGTGGCTTACCATCTTGGGGGTTCGTCTGGCTGGAGCCTAACTGAAGGCACAGCAAGAGCAAGAACAGAAGTAGCACCCACTGCATCATCGCTCCGCCGTGCCGTTCCGGCCTCCACAGCAGATCAAGGTAACGTCAAACCAGAAACAATCTCGATGGATGTTCTTGTGGGACAAGTCTACCCGATTGCCAAGCTAATGGAGGAGCTAGCAGCTATCCAACGCGGCGCCCTCCTTGCTGAGGTTAGCAACAATGCCAGGCAAAGCAAACAGCCATTCAAACAAAACCATCTCATATATAGTTTGCTTCAGAGGATTTATTAGCAGGCATTGCCTATGGGACTGCTTACCAGGTCCAACAGATATGCAGATAGTAAAACGCATGCACACAAAGGTTGTTGGTGGCCTTATAAGACTTATAAACAAGTCGTAGCAAGAGCTCTCAGTTGAACTGATCAAAAGATGAGATGGATGAAGCAAACGTTTGTGTATTGCATTTGAGTAGTGGGGGCAGGTGCTTCTTGCCTATCCGTGTGCGGCCTTATCTGCGCGGCACCATATGTTATGCATTGCTCTTGCTCGGCATTGGCCCAGTCGTAACTTGCGGGTAGCTGGGTATCACTCTTGGCTTGGGTAGCTGGGTACTGCTGGGTTTTGTACATTTTTCCGTCCATATCGTTGTGTTCTTAGTTAACATGTCGATAATTTTTGCGATTAAGAAACACGTAGATACGGCAATAAGTTGGATTATGCGTGCTTGGCCACATGTCAGACACTGGATGTGCTGCTCGGCTGTTGTACTTAACAATTCCGTTTCTCCTTGTGCAGGTGGATCTCAAGGTTGGGTCAAGAACTCAAGATACCTGCCAGTGCAAGGCAGCAGCCCTGCTGATGTTGATATGGCATCAGGGCATGTATCGATGAATTATGCCATGGTTGGTCAGTAAACCATGTTTGACATGGTCACGATCTGTTAGTTTATCTGACGGTTCTCTCGAATCCGAGACAGTGGTCAGTTTAAATATA